ACATGTTGTAAGGAGGGATCAGTCCCTGGAGAAGGACATCATGCTTGGTAAAGTAGAGGGTCAGCAAAAAAGAGGAAGACCCTCAACGAGATGGATTGATACAGTGGCTGCACTGTGGGCTCAAGCATAACAAGGATTGTGAGCGTGGCACAGGACCGGGCAGTGTTTTGTTTAGTGGTACATAGGGTTGCTATGCTATGAGTCAGAACCGACTTGACAGCACCTAACAACAACCACCACCAGGTTAACACTCACTTGTATTTGTATTCCATATGATTTTGCCTATTCAATATTAATTACTTCTTCCTCATTGCTAACAGAATCCCAGTTGGTTCAGGGTGGCATATAAAGCAAACCAAAAAAACTCACTTTTGCAACCTCTCCAGGCGTACTGGGCAACCACATGACCTAATTCAGCCTAATGAGAAACAACCAGAAATCTGTAGTGGTTACTAGGTAATTTTTTCTTTCTTGATTAAAAGAGACAGCGTTGGCTGGTGATACCCTTTCCTTCTTTCCGATACTTTCTCCCCCTTCTTCCTGCCTTGAAACAGACATGATATACGTACCTGTGTGAACCATCTTGTATCCAGGAGGCAACATAGAGATGAAGCAACAAAAGGAACATAAAATTGCCAACTCTGACATTTTCTAGCTGCTGACCAAAAGTCAGCAGACACTTACTCTCTGACTTCTTGTTATGTAAGAAAAATAAACCTCTATGTGTTTAAGCCACTGTTATATGGGCTTTAGTTACTTGAAACAAAACACCATCCTAACCAATGCATTCCCTGAGCATATGTCCAGTGATGCTGAGGGAAAGGGCAAGGGGCATGGAGAAGGTCTTGGGGAAGTCAGCCTGGAATATCCACGTGGCCGTACAGATCCTCCAAACAGATCATCAATATCCACATGCAAGTTCATTGCCTCTGTCAATCATATATCCCTTGTCCTCAATAATTCACAAATATGTTATCTCTGCATAAGCCCTTCCCTCAAGAAGTTTATGGTGTAATAGGGGAGACTAGAAATTTACGCAAATAACTACACTGGAAAGTAGAAAATTACAAAGGTCAAGAAAGAGATTATAAGAAAACAGCCCTTTGAGACTAAACTGTTTATTGCAACTGGGAAGTAGTAAAATGGTTTTCTCAGAGTGTGGGTCAAATTTCCTCTTGCCACCAGCTGACCCTCCCTCGAAGGACAAGGGCTGGGGGAGTTTTATTTTTGTTAGCTGCTGTCGAGTCAGTGCCAACTCATGGTGACCCCATGCACAACAGGCTCACACCTTTGTGCTCTGAGGCATTTTCATTGGTGCTAATCTTTTGAATAAGGAAGACCAAAGAAGAATGGATGCATTTGAATTATGGTGTTGGTGAGGAATACTGAATACACCACGGACTGCCAGAAGAATGAATAAATCTAACTTGGAAGAAGTACAGCCAGGATGCTCCTTAGAAGCGAGGATGGTGAGACTACATCTCACATACTTTGGTCAAGTTATCAGGAGGGATCAGTCCCTGGAGAAGGCCATCATGCTTAGTAAAGCAGAGGGTCAGTGAAAAAGGGGAAAACTCTCAACGAGATGGATTGACACCTTGGCTGCAACAATGGGCTTAAACATAGAAACGATTTGAGAATTGGCCCGGGACCTGGCGGTGTTTTGTTCTGTTGTACATGTGGTCACTATGAGTCAGAACCAACTCAATGACACCTAACAACAACAATTTTTTGGAAGTAGATTTTCAGCTCTTTCTTCTCAGTCCATCTTTGCCTAAACTCTCCGTTGAGGGTGGTGGCTATGCATGAGGTATGCTGGCTGGGAACTGAACACTGGTCTTCTGCATGGAAGGTGAGAATTTTACCACTGAACCACTAGTGCTCCTTGGGGGATTTTAGAAGACCTTAAACGTGGCATTATGAGTGGAAACTGCTAGACGGGGACCCAATGTGTGGGGTCTTTAGCTGATCTTACGGACAGGAAAAGATCTTTTGTGTTTTTGTCTGTTTATTTGAAAATTCTGGAAAATCTCCAGTACTCTAAGAGGGAAAAGGGAACAAATGGGAGAGAGGGGAATAAAGAAAAAAATGGGTATGCTCCCTCCACATCCCTCCTCTCGCAGCCCTCAGGAGCTGGTCTCAGTGGCAACACGGGTAAAAGTGAAAGGATCTCGATGGGAGGTACAATCTCAGCTGTGCATGTGGTGAGCTCCCACCTCAACTGGCTCTTCCTGCTGGAGATATTTCCCTTGCTGACACCTTCATATCAATCCCCTTGATCACGTTTGTGCTTTGATTATTTTGTGGATGGAGTCCCTGGCTGAGTCAGAAATTAAATAATTGAATATGCCTATATTTAAGAGCTTGGCTGCTAACCAAAAGGTCGGCAGTTCAAATCCACCAGCCGCTGCTTGGAAACACTGTGGAGCAGTTCTACTCTGTCCTATAGGATCACTAGGAGTCGAAATTGACTTCACAGCAACAGGTTTGGTTTTGGGTTTTTATAATTTAGAAGTAAGTAAGAAGTTTTCTCCCTGGGGGATGGGTAAAAGTTTCCAAGGGGCTTTGAGTTTTGACAGGCAGAAAAGCGGAAGGAAATTTCAATGTGAACAAAGCTCTAGACACTGGGAAGGAAAGGGCAGGCTCTTCCATTTGTTCCATAAATATTTACGTAGCACCTCCAATGTGCCAGGTGGTGTTGGAGGTGCAGGGAATACAGACAACAAAACAGACCTGGCCTCTGCCCCTGGGAGCATGATGCGAAATTGCTCAGAGCACAGAGACTGTGGAGGGGAGGGAGTACCAGGAAGTAAAGCTTGAAAAGAAAGATGCAAACAGATTGTGGGGAGCTTTGAGCTTTGTCTAGAAATTTGTTCTTTATCCAGTAGGCAAGTGGAGAGCCACTGCAGGTCACTCAGCAGGAGAATGCCCTGGTCAGAGCTGTCTTTTAGGAACACGAATCTGGAAGCTGTGTGTTGGTTCATTTGGAATGGGGAGAAACTAGAAACTGCAAGAACAGTTGAGGGACAACTACTAAAGCTCAGACAAGATGTAGTGAGGGCCCGAATCTGGGTCATATCAAAATTATATGTGCATTGATGACTGTCTGCTGAGACCACACCATATGCTAATATCAACAGAAAGTCTCAAAATGAATATATCTTCTCAGACTGATAGAAAACACTATCATGTATCAGCCTTGGAAAAGTTCCCAAAATACAGAGTTTAATAAACCTGTCCTCCTAATGTCAGGGGCAGCACAGCAGAGGTAGTATGGCCAGTCTAATACTGTCCGAAGCTGTGAAGTGGTGGCCGCGTTGCCCAAAGTCCTTTAGAGCAATAAAACTTGCAATATGTCGGTTCAAAAGCTAAAAGTCTCCCATGACCTCATTGGGATTAATTTCAGCAAATCATGTTAAAGCAGAAGGAATCATGGAATTCCAGTTAGGAAAATGAAGTTTGAATTTCTATTCTGGGACCTACTAGCGAGTTATTTAATTAGTTTACCCCCCTCCGAGCTGTTGGCTGCAGATAATGTTTAATCACAGATCTCCAGGAGAAAAAAAAGCTTTTGCTAATTTCTGTAATGTAAATCCTCCCAGCCTGGCCAATTTCAAGATACAAATGTGACGTCAACCTGCTCACCAAATTCCTAAAAAGTTAACAATTCATTCTCACAAGCTAGTATGATCCAGCTCTCGCACACCACTGCTTCCAAGGCTCAGCTTTCACATCTAAAAAATGGGAATCACTTCACCTCCATAAGACCATTGTCAGGATTGGGATAATATAAGTGAAAATACATAATAAAGGGATATTAGTAGATACCAGGCACTGACACGAGTCCCTAGGTGGTGCAAATGGTTAACATGCTCCACTGCTAACCAAAAGGTTGGAGGTTCAAGTCCACCCAGAGATGCCTTGGAAGAAAGGCCTGGCAATCTGCTCCTGAAAGATCACAGCCATTGAAAATCCTATGGAGCAGTTCTACTCTGACACACATGGGGTCACCATGAGTCAGAATTGACTCGCGGCAACTGGTTTGTTTTTTTTAAATCTATCTACCTATCATCTAACATCATTATCTATCAATTGTCTACGATTTATCGATCTGTCTATCTACCTGTCTATCTAGCCAACTATCTATCTTTGTATTAACTGGTGCTCTATAAATGCGCACCGAAAATGAATTAGTAGCAGTGCCCTAAATGCTACTTCCACCAAAGGAGACCAGCAACAGCACCAAGAAATCAAGAGAAATTTTGCGTTGTCCTCCTGACATGGTCTTCTTCCAGCCAGGAGGTTGAGAAGATGCCAACTCTTTATGTAACTAAGAAATCTCTAAGGCAGATGTTTTGTTTTTGTTTTTGAGTGTGGTTCTTAGGATACCTGGCACAGAATCACCAGAGAGCCTTCGTTAAAAATGCTAATTTCTAGGCCCCACCTGAGACCAATAGAACCAGAGTAACTGGAGGAGGGGTCCAAAAAATTGCACTTTTAACAAGTTCCTGAGGTAAAGCTGATGCTACATGACTGAGGTTTGAGGCCCACATCTCTAAAACAAAAAGTAAAGTTCACAAGGCCTCTTTTCATTTCAGTTGTAAATGTCTCCATAAATGTTTCTTCAGAAAGCTCTTATGTGAACTTCCTTTGCAAGAATGCGCAACCCCGGTCACAAGCTGACTTTGTCTGACTTTGTTTGAGAAATGTACTGGAGACAGAGCTCATGTGATTGTGGCACCCCATCAACTGATCCATTCATTCGAAAAAGTCACCACGCAGAGGCATTGGATGGCTTCTGTGGAAGAGCCTCCCTGTCTGGGAAACTGAAGGAGAGACTTTCTGTAGTGTTCCTTACCTGTGAAGAGGGCATGGTAGTGGAGGCCCCTCTCCTTGTCCTGATGGGAGCAGACATCAAATAAGTAGGCTTTGATGGGACCATCAATGAAGTCAGCAGCAAAATCAAAGAGAACCACACCCATCATGGTGATGCTTATGGCCCAAATCAGCTTCTTCCTTGGGTCAGCAGTCAAAGCTAAAAGAGAAATAAACATCAGTCCCCTAAATCCTGATTTCGAGTGATCTGCATTTTTTATTTCCACCAAAACCTTCTGCCATCAAAATTATCTCGTTTTGCTTTGTTTTGTTTTGTTTGTCCAAATAAAAATAGCTTTATTATTTTTTCTGGTTTAAAAAAATATGCATTATAAGCTCCAGAATAGGCAAATCTATAGAAGCAGAAAGTAGATTAGTGATTACTCTATAGGGTCACTGTGAGTCAGAATCAAGTCCATGGCAATGGGTTTGATTTTGATTTTAAGGCTGGAGGGAGAGGGGGTGGAGAGTGGCTGCTGATGTATATGGGTTTCTTTTTGGAGTGATAAAGAAGTTCTAAAACTCGATTGTGGTGGTGGTTGCACAACTCTGTGACTATACTAAAAACCACTGGATTTTGCACTTTAAGTGGGTGAATTGCATGGTGTGCAAATTGTTAACTCGATAAGGTTGTTTAAAAAATTATGCATGCTAATTGTAAACAATTCCTATGATATAGAAAAGCTGGAGGGAAATGCTTTAAATCCTAGCTCGAAGTGATGGTCAACCTTTCAGACATCCTTTTATGCATTTACGTACATACATACATAGGTGTACAACTGTACACTGAGCATCGCTCCTCAAACTTTATCATGCTTAAACATTACCTGGAGGGCTTGTTACAACACAGATTGCTGGACCCCATCCCCTGAGATTCTGATTCAGTAGGTCTGAGGTGAGACCTGAGAATTTGCATCTCTAACAAGCTCCTTGATGATGATGCCGCTGATCCAGGGGCCACGTGTGGAGCAGCACTGACTAATGAGGTCATGCTGTATAAACTCATCTATAACCAGCTTTCTTTATATCTTTTCATTCAGTTATCAAGAGCGACTACACTATTTTTAACAGCTAAATAATATTCATTCTATGGATATGCAACAATTCATTCACCCAACCTTCTGTTGAAGAAAAATTGTTGCTTCTCTTGCTCTCGGTTGGTACAAATGGTTAACACAATCAGCTGCTAGCCAAAAGGTTGAAGGTTCAAGGCCACTCACAGTCACCTTGGAAGAAAGGCTCAGCAATCTACTTCCAAAAAATCAGCCACAGAAAACCTTATGGAGCACAGTTCTACTCAGTCACACATCGGATTGCCGTGAGTTTCCATCAACTCAAAAGCAACTGAGTTTTTGTCTTTTTTTATACACGTTAAAAAAAATCAGTAATTGGTTGCATGATGTGATGAAAATAATTAATGTCACTAAATTGTACATGTAACAAACGTTGAAATGGCAAATTTTTCGTTATTTATATACGTGTGTGTTTGTGTATGGAGAGAGAGAGCCCTGGTGGTGCAGTGGTTAAGTGCTCAGCTGCTAACCAAAAGGGCCATGGTTCCAGCTCACCAGCCACTCTACAGGAGACAGATGTGGCAGTCTGCTTCTGTAAAGATTACAGCCTTGGAAACCCTATGGCAACGTTCTACACTGTCCTATAGGGTCACTATGAGTCAGAATTGACTCAACAGCAATGGGTTTTGTTATATATATATAAACTCATCTTAATAAAAACAATTAATTTTAAATGATTACAGTATACAAATAAGTGAAACATAAGTCCACCCTCCACTTCTCACCTCCAGTCCTTTAGTTTCCCTCCCTAGAGGCAACTACTCTTATCTGCTTTGTGTGTGTGTGTGTATATGTGGAGTCTTCCAGAAATAATCCAACATTTACGTATTTATGCCCTCTTCTTAATATATACAAATGAGAACTGATTATCCTGCCTCATAATCATCCATTCCACTAGTCTAAAAATGTGTACTATTTTTAACAATCCTTTCTCAATGCAACTTTTAATGTACTACCACCAACTACTGATTAATTACTTGGTGGCTGATTAATGGCTAGTAAAAGTGCTTACCATCAGGTTTGATTTTGTCCAGAATTTGCAATGCAAAAATGTCCCCTTTAGCTGACAAGCTGATGCCCTGGACCCATTAAAAGGCTCTACAGAAACCTGCACACAGAATTAACTCTTATTTGGACACAGAGGTGATCTATTATACATATTTATGGAGTCATTTGGCAGCTGGTCAACCACCAAAGTCTTAACAGGGCCATAATGAGCTCGAAACAAATCTCAATGGATAAATATTTTCAAATATTTAATTTGATAAAACATAAAAATTTAATCCTACTTAAAAAGCTTCCTAATAATAAAGACCAGTGCACCCTGATATTTCTAAAACCAAAGGCTCCCCAAGCACAGAATTTTAGCCACTCAGAGGTAGATTTCACTGTAAACTGAGAGGCTCAGTTCTAACCAATTTCTAAATAAGTTTCAGATGAAGAAATTCACATCCTCCTCCTGTCGAGTTGCTTGATAGGACATTGACCCTGCCTGCCCACCTTGTATGTCCACTTACCTGCTATAACAGTATCCCCATTAAGGTACAGAGCCATGCCGAAGAGCATCATGACAGCCAGGGTCAGGATGTAGGGTCTCCGCCGGCCCCACCTGGACTGGCAGTGGTCACTGACTAACCCGACCACAGGTTGCAGCAGGAACCCCAGGATGGGGCTGAGGAGCCACACCACACTGTACAGACTCTTGGGTAGGCCCACGCTGAGCAGGACTGGAGTCACGTAAGCAGCCTCCACTGCGTAGCAAAACTCCCGGCCAAACATGGCCATGCTGTGCATGACCAGTCTGCCCGTGGGTCTTTTAGGTGGATCCACGGAGTCAGAGAGACATTCCTCAGTTAGGGATTTATAGGTGTGAATGCCAGTCTGGCCACTGTTGCCACCCATGACTACTGAGTGAGGGACCATCCAGCAGGCCCACCAACTCCTGCGTGTCCTTGGGTCTGTGCTCCAAGCTGGATTTGACATGGAGCCTGGCTGAGCAGCCCGCAGAGATGGTCAGGCTGGGGGAGGGGCCCAAATTCTTTCATGCATGCCTCCAAGATCACAAGTTATGATGAGAGGGAAGGGGGTGCGGGAAAGCATGACGGAGATTAGCTTCTGTGAGCCTCCGCCTCCTTAGGTTTTCCTAAAGTGTTCTCCCTTTGTCTTCTCTCTTTCACACACACACACACACACACACACACTCTTACACTCACTCACTCACTCACACAGCTTTGAAATAGTAAAGCCCTAATTCACCACTGTGAAGTTAAAGTGCTTGTCGGTATCTTTTTTTTAAATTGTGCTTTAAGTGAAAGTTTACACTTCAAGATAGTTTCTCATACAAAAATTTATACACAGGGGGGCTGTGGGGACCATGGTCTAGGGGAACATCTAGCTCTATTGGCATAACACAGTTTATAAAGACAATGCTCTACATTCTACCTTGGTGAGTAGTGTCTGGGGTCTTAGAAGCCTGTGAGCGGTCATCTAAGATACTCCACTGGTCTCACCCCTTCGGAAGCAAGGGAGAATGAAGAGAACAAGATACAAGGAAAAGATTAGTCCAAAGGACTAATGGACCACAACTACCATGGCCTCCTCCAGACTGAGTCCAGTATGGCTAGATGGTGCCTTGCTACCACCACTGACTGCTCTGACTGGGATCACAGTAGAGGTTCCTGGACAGAGCTGGAAAAGGATGTAGAACAGAATTCTAACTCACAAAAAAAAGACCAGATTTACTGGCCTGATAGACTGGAGAAACCCTGAGAGTATGGCCCCTGGACACCCTTTTAGCTCAGTGATGAAGCCCTCCCAAAGTTCACTGTTCAGCTGGGGATTAGACAGCCTCATAAAACAAAACAGGACTGAGGCACAGCAGTCCAGGGACAAGGACTAGACGGCAGGAGGGGCCAGGAAGGCTGGTGATAGGGAACCCATGGTTGAGAAGGGACAGTGTTAACATGTCATGGGGTTGTTAACCATTGTCATGGGGCAATATGTGCACTAACTCTTTAATGAGAAACTATTTGTTCTGCAAACCTTCATCTAAGGTACCAAATGAAAAGAATTATCTATGTGAGATCAAATTGACAATAGCAACTCAAAAGGTTTGATGGGAAGCCTAGAGGACAGTGAGTTGAAGATAATGGTGATGGAATAATCTGGAAAAGGATAGAGAATAGCAGCACAACTGGAAGCATGTAATCGATGTCACTGAATTGTACGTGTAGAAACTTTCAAAATGGTGTAACTTTGGCTATGTATATTTTCACCAAAAAAAAGGTCCTCAAGGTCGAGAAGGAAGAATGTTGACATGTCGTGGGGGTTCTTAACCAATGTCATAAAACAATATGTATACTGATTGTTTAATGAGAAACTATTTGTTCTGTAAACCTTCATCTAAAGTACAATAAAAAAAATTTAAAAAAAAATTTATACACACATTATGTGACCCTAGTTGCTCTCCCTATATTGTGACAGCACACTCCTTTCCACTCCAGATTTCCTGTGTCCATTCAACCAGCTCCTGTCCCTTTCTGCCTTCTCATCTTACCTCTGGACAGGAGCTGCCCATTTAGACCCATATATCTACTTGAGCTAAGAAGCACACTCTTCACGAGTATCACTTTATGTCCCATAGTCCAGTCTGATCTTTGTCTGAAGAGTTGGCTTCGGGAATGGTTTTAGTTTTGGGCTAACAGAGAGTCCGGGGGCCATGTTTTCTGGAGTCCCTCCAGTCTCAGTCAGACCATTAATGAGTCAGTATCTTTTTATACATTTCTCGTTATATTTTGTCTTTTCCTGACCGCAAGCTTTCTAAAAACACAACTCAGGCAGCAAATGACTAGACGTAAAATGGGCTGAGATCATACTTCTCCTCTAAATCACTAGCTGTCTTCTTCTACCTGGAGATCTTCCTTCATTGCACCTAACACACTTTAAAATTATGTATTTCTGAATCTTATATGTTCAGTTTCAATGGGAGTTGGGCAGAGGAGGGGATGGATATGAGAGCCCTTAAGGTGGAACTGACAACACTCTGTCTGATATGGAGATTCATTCATTCAATAAATATTTACCAAATTTCCACTATGGGCCAGACACTATTCTAGGCACTGGGAAATTGGCAATGAATAAAATCTACAAAGTCCCTGCCCTGATAAAGCTTCCGTTCTAGTGTGTTTTGGTGGTGAGGAGAAGGCTGGGGTTAATAAACAATGTCAGCAGCGATACGTACCGTAAAGGAAAATAAGGCAGAATGAGGGGATAGTGAGTGCCGAAGTAGCTGCTATTTTAGACAGGGGTCAGGAAAGGACTCTCCATAAGGTGACATTTGGGCAGTGGCCTGAAGAAGTGAGGGGTGAGTCATGGGACCATCGGAGGAAGAAGATGGAAGGAGAATGGAAGGAGACAAGTAAGGAAGGAGACTAGGATACTTTCAAATAGACGGCAGTGTCATTTCCTGAGAAAATCGGACACACAGAAGGGCCATCTGGATGGAGAAGTGGGAGTCATCAGAGGAAACTTCAAGAACATTTTCTAAAATTCAAATTCAAAGACTGACTGAATGATTTCCTTACCAAATTAAAAAAAGTCAGACTTTTCTACCTAAAGGACATCCACTTTGGTAAACAGAAGAGCACGAAGTATTTCAGTACGTCATAAAATGCTATTTAAAAAACTTTCTTGAAAGCATTTTACAAACTTAGAAACACAAGTAAACTTTAGAAAAAATAAAAGCTTTATTTATAAAGTGCATTAAATAAGTATTTTAATCAATATACTCCGTCGGGTAAACTGGAAGGTAAGAAAATATGAAAACATTCCTAAATCAAAGGCCATGCTGTTAGCCATTGCTAGAATTTAATCATTACTGAGTAATCAAGAGTCTTTTGTGATTTCTCGATTCGAAGAGGTCAAACACTATGATACTGTTCTTTCACATTCCATGCACACAGTCATATGTATTATTGATACTGTAAATGCAATAGTCAAATTCACTTGAGCTGTGAGCCTAGAAGTTAGAGATTAGCTCTTAATTCATGAATTTCAATTATCTTATCTGAGTTAAGCTGATCAATCTCTTCCTGGCTGAACCCAAATTCTTTAAGTATGTCTTCAGTGTGTTCTCCTACAAAAGGATCCCTTCGGAAAGAAGGGGTAGCGGGAGTGCTCGACAGCAGAGGGGCAGGGCGAGGGCTTACGCCCTGCTCCTCATCGGTAATAAACGAGCCCCTCTCTTTGTGATGATCGTGATGGGCAACCTCCTCAAACGTCAGGACAGGAGTCACGCAAGCATCTGTGCCTTCAAAGATCTGACACCATTCAGCCTTTGTCTTCTTTGCAAATGCAAGAGCAAATTTCTTCTTCATTTCTGGCCAATCAGCCATGCTCATCTGATTAGGAAGTTCAGCAGAATTTAGCCCAAGCCCTGAAGGAAAAAAAATAATTTCTTAAATTATTATGCTTCTGGTACAGTGATTATAATCAATGAAAATGAGTTTTGAGCTCACCATACTATCCCATACAGGATGTTCTATAACCAAAAAAGAAAAAAAAGTCGATTTTGATAGGGATTATTAAATGAGTCAAGGGAAGAAATCAAGCTCAACCTGAAGGGCCAAAAGCTAGAGAGGGCAGAAGTAGTAGGCGTATAGTACTTCAAAACAGACTCTCCACTGCCGAGATCTCATTATTTACATTTCATCAAAAGTTGTCTATTTTTAATGGTCTAGTTTCTAGAAATCGATTTCTTCTCTGAGTAGGCTTTGAAAAAGAAATTTCCTTCATGTCATTATCTGTCATACTGAATTAAAACAATCCCATATTTTATATGATGTGCTCAAACCCTACAAAAGATAAAATATAAACAACTTTACACGTGACTATCTCAATCTCCAAGGAAGAAGCCTAAAATAAATGATTAAACTCAGGATTGCTGTTTCATAAATAATATCCATTTCTCTTTATTCTGATATGAGCAAGAATACGGACGACAGAGAATAAAACCTAATCACCTTTACTTAAAACAACAGCAACAACAACCCACAGCCCACGTCCTGCTAATAAAATCAGTGAACAAAAACGACTTCTGCTTCTCTATTTAGGGCATTTAGCGTGCTGTCATAAGATAAAAACAACTTAGTAATTCACAGAACATTATATAACACAGTATATTGAGCCCCAAGGGTGCACCTAATAAAACCGATGCTTGGAATCGACTTTCTTTTTTACATCATCTTCTCTTAATACGACAAAATTATTTTCAATAGCAATTACGAATGAAACCAGTAATAATTGTGGCTGGAAAAGAAATGCAGACTGGGAACCTTTTCCTTCACTGAATTTTGTATAATCATGCTGGGAAAAGTAATTTTAAAATATATATCTTTTATAAATATAAAAATTTTATAAAATTTTGCAAATATTATTTATAAAATAAATAATAGTATATTTCTTTTATAAATAAAATATACTAAAGCATAAAAACCCATGGCTGTCAAGTCGATTCTGACTCATAGCAACTCTATATGACAGAGTAGAACTGCCCCATAGGGTTTCCAAGGCTGTAATCTTTACAGAAGCGGACTGCCGCATCTTTCTCCTGCAGAGCAGCTGGTGAGTTTGAACTTTTGCAGCCTAATGCTTTAACCACTGCACCACCACGACTCCTTATAAAATATAAAAAGTAAAACAAACATTATATTACAATTAGGAAAAATGGATTGGTATTTTTTTAATTGCATTAATTATTTTTTTTGAAAAGGGGGGGACCTTATACCTACATATTGGTCTCTCACAGATATGAATAATAACAGGGGTCAGCAAACTTTTTCTGTAAGGAGCAAGACAGTTAATATTTTAGGCTTTTCAGCCCATATGGTCCCTGTTAAAACTACTCATTCTGCTTCTGTAGTATGAAAGCAGCCATAAACCAACCAGTTGTCATAGAGCTAACTCTGACTCATGGCGACCCCATGTGTATCAGAGTAGAACTGTGCTCCACAGAGTTTTCAGTGGCTGATTTTTTGGAAGTAGATCCCTAGGCCTTTCTTTCCAGGCACCTCTGGGTGGACTCAAGCCTCCAACCTTTTGGTTAGCAGCTGAGCACCACTGATTGTTTGCACCACTCAGGCGCTCAGAAGGCAGCCATAGACAATACATATACCAACGGGCAGGACTGTGTTCCAATAAACTTTATACACAAAAACTGGCAGAGGGCCAGATATGGTCTTCAGGCTGTAGTTTGCCAATCCCTGAATAATCACATTACATTTTCTGCTTTTAAGCCTTACCTTGACATACCTGCAAAAGGTACAATTTGGATAACTGTTAAGTCATAACACTAATAAAACATTTATTTTCTTGTTCTATTCTCTACTTTTAAAACCAAAACAATAAAAAAGAAGAAATTTCACATTTAAAGATATTCAAAATTCAGTAAAATATTTCAGATATGAGCTAAAATGTGTGCTTACCAGACAAAATTATTACACTTTGCAGTTTACATTGTGTTTCACTAATTTAAATTTTAAATATAAGTAAAAACTCCAGATATCATATAGAAGGACAAAATTTAGGTTAACTCCAGTTCTACTTCTTGATCTTTATAATCACTTATACAACTATTATTTTTTTGGAATCTGCTATTTAAACACAGGAACAGGTTGTACCACAGAGGGACTGGAGACAGAAATTGCCCCCAAAGTGAGCTCAAATGATTCTGCACTTCTACTGTAGAGATGAACGTGTGCTGGGGCCAGACTGTGTAACTGGGAGTTCTCTGAATTAACTTCTATGTACAAGTACAATGTTTACTAAAACATAAGAATTACAAATGTGCTATTACAGTTTACATGTATGTTATTAGAACTCAGCAGTAGCTGCAACAATTGTATGGAGCTCAGACCAATAAATCACTTTTGGGGGAAGGAGTTTATTTGATCACTGTCATTTAGAATTGCTGGTGCCTGATGATAATAAAGAGCTGTCTGAAGTGTAGCTAACGTTACTATTGCATTTCAATTCTCTAAGATAATGCACTCAGGGCATAGTACTCCCACCGCTGGCCCTTACTACAGCACTGTTCAGTTCGTAATTTTGAATTAAGACTTTCTATTCTTAATTTTGATCCCTGGATGGCACAAACAGTTTGCATTCGGCTACCAACCAAAAGGTTGGCAGTTCAAAACCACCCAGTGGTGCCACAGAAGAAAAGCCTGGCAATCTGCTTTTGTAAAGATTACAAAAACAAAAAACAAAAACCTGTTGCCGTCGAGTGGATTCCAACTCATAGTGACCTTACAGGACAGAGCAGAACTGCCCTATACGGTTTCCAAGGAGCAGCTGGTAGATTTCAACTGCCGGCCCTTCAGTTAGCAGCCGAGCTCTTAACCCCTGTGCCATTAGGGTGCTTTTGTAAAGATTAGAGCCAAGAAAATCTTATGTAGAAGTTCTATTCTGTAACACACAGGATCACCATGATTCAGAATCAACTTGACAGCAGTAAGTTTTGGTTTTTCTTTATTCTTAATTTCGGGACAGAAGGTACCCTATATAATCTAAATAAATCATTCTTCTACCATTTTTCCAAATGTATTTAAGCTGGTTAATACAGTTGATCATAAAATACTTTCAGATGTTTGTAAAAACAAGCATTCCAGCTATATGTAAATAACTTTGAGTAGTATATTGCATCTGAAAAGCTACCTAATCTAAAGTAGAAAGATAAATGCGCTGTGACCACTCTGTCACACCACTTCAGAGTATATCTTAAAAATTCTTAGGTACTAAATTATCTGTAGAATGAACTTTAAATTCGAATATTTCACATTATTACACAGGAACAAAATAATCCAATCCAATATTTAATTAGGGAAGAACACCTCCCAAGTTTTCCTGCTAACCTGGGGCAACGTGCCAGCAGGACAAGAATCTAGAAGAGGGGTAAACTGCAGAAGCATCAAACGACAGTAGCATACTCCAACACAACCTCACTCATCGAAGTATCTGTGTGCTCTGGGGACACCTAACACTGAGGCATCGTTAAGAGTTGTCTATCAAGAACAGGAACTAGTGGAACCAGCAAATCATTTCTAGGAAAGCACAAGCTCTGGGCACACAAGGGCAAGACAGGTAGCTAACAATATTGTGTATGAAATGTAATAAAAACATTGATTGTCCTCCAAAAGGGACTATTATTTTTTTTTTAAAACCCTGAACTTTAGTACTTAATGCTGTTGTTGTTAGGTGCCGTCGAGTCGAATCGGTTCTGACTCATAGAGACCCGATGTACAACAGAATGAAACACTGCCTGGTCCTGGGCCATCCTCACAATTGCTGCTATGTTTGAGCCCGTTGTTGCAGCCACTGCGTCACTCCATCTTGTCGAGGGTCTTAATCTTTCTCGCTGACCCTCTACTTTGCTAAGCATGATGTCCTTCTCCAGGGACTGGTCCCTCCTGACAACATGTCTGAAGTCCATGAGACAAAGTCCTGCCACTCTCACTTCCAAGGACTGCTCTGGCTGTACTTTATAGACGAGTAAAATTACCTGTCAGTTTAAAAGATGGGGGAAATGTCTCACAATGTAATGATGGCTAGTTAGGTTACTTAGAAAGTGGCTATATAAGAAAAAGTTACGAATTTCAAAAGGCTCCAAAATAGAGGTTAAAGAACACCCACAGGAAAATGGAGGGCGTGTGGGGCAGCACGTGAAGGTTACTCACCCTTGATCAGCAGCTCATAGAACTGGGGTTCTAATGCTCCAACAGCCATGAACTCCCCATCTGCTGTCCGGTAAGTTGTGTAGAAAGGAGCTCCACCGTCTAACAAATTCTGGCCTCGAGGCTGTTCCCACAGTCCCACTTTGTGAGTTTTCCATAGAAAAGAACTCAGATACGCTGTCCCTTCCACCTTTGAAGAAGCAGAGTAAGGTAGAAATCCAGACAATTCAACTATAAATACAGGATTAACTTCTATTTAGTTTTTTAAAAAAAAATATTTGTGGAAAGACGCTTATCTTAGAATACATGCAGATTATATCTAATTATACAACTTCTTTGATATTTCTAGAAAGTGAGTTACACTGGGTTTATGTTAAAATAAGAATTGGTTGCACAATTCAGTTCAGAAAATACCGTGAGACTGAGGAGGAACTACCATCTGTGTTCTTCGTTTCAATTAAGATTGGCAAAACGTTGATGATTTTTTAAGTTGGGTGAGGGTTCGTGGAAGTTCATTATACTCTTTTCACTATTTTTGTATACCTAAAATACTGTTATGATAAAAAGTTAAAATATAAAGCAAAAAGTTTTTTTTTTTAAGTCCATATTCTGATCTCAATACCTATTAAACACACACACACAGATATATAAAGCATATCACATTTTAAAGGCAAATCACATTATCTAAATTTAGTTTATTCTAGCTGGATTCCAAGAAAACTATATTTGAATATTTAATATTCAATACAAAATAAACATAACATGGGTGGCAGGTACTTGGGTTTTCTGATTCCAGACAAACTAGTTTGGGAACGCAACCTTCCAACTGACTACTTAAGTAAGAGGAATAAATTCACACTCTCAGCTTCCTTGATCACCAGGTTCAACTCAAAAGCTAAACGCCCTGAGCCATTTCCCTAATCATCCCAGTAACCTGAGAGAAGGCCATCAAAGCATCCTTGTCTCACAGGTCACCAACAGAAGGAGCCCGTTCCAGCTGTGAGCACAGAATTTCTCACAGAGTTAATGCCTATGAAACAAACGCAAAATATATCTTTGGGTATATGCCAATTCTCATTGACAACTTGAAGTCTCACCAGCAGCTGAATTTATGGTTATCACATTTATCATCACCAAATATTAAATTTGCATAAATGGTCAATGGCAGTGCTTTTTTTTAAACTGGGTTATATACATCTTAGAGAGGCCTCATGTTAGACAGACAGACACACAGACAGACAGACACAGACACACACACACACACACCGCACTATTTTAAATATATTTTATGCTTAGTTAAGTACACATTGTATTTATTTCTAAAACTGTAATAAAAACATAACATTTAGAAGTGTCCTATACCAAATTCCGACCAATTGTTCTATGCCAATTCATTAACATTTGTTGTTTTTCCCTCCAATTTTCCATATAATTGAACTTGCAATTGATACACTATTAAGGAGGACTGTAGTTCTGCGTGGGTATTTTTGCCCTCTTAACTTGGCCTGCTCATAGTAAACCCAACAAGCTGAGTCCCTCCTGGAAGCAAATGCACTGCGGTGCACGGGCCTTGCTCCGCCAGAGCTGAACAGTAGTGGGGCCTAACAAGTGGACTCGAGGCAGGTCATGTGCCAGCGGTGCTACAGAGTTTTGACACTGAGAGTTAGAAAACTGCTTTTCTGACTTTTATATTCATGCCAAAGAATCTGAAATGTTTTAGATATTGTAGTGAGTCAACTCTGAAATAAAAAAAGGGTTTCTGCTCTTCTGTTTCACCATAAATGAAATATAATCTGAGATTTTAAGCAAGCTACTTAAAAACTATAGGCATTTCTAATTAATCTCTGTGACTCAGGATTTTCCAAACATTGGGTCCAAAACAAAATGTAGTAATAAACTGAACACTGAAAATGATAAGACAATGACCCATAAGCCCTAATTTCAAATGTTTGTGCTTATTAAAACAGCTTCATTGGTCTGATAGTATAATAAATACTGAATATGTAAATTTATAAAACACATTTATGCTGATAAAATACCTCTTTAATCTCCCTTATATTCTGGATCTCCTGATGAGACTATTGAAAAACAGATGCCCTAACAGAGGAGTTGTGATGGGTCCAAAGTGGCCCTCTCAGCATATACACTGGCTCTAACCTGATCCTAAGGAGCCCTGGTGGCACAGTGGTAAAGCACTCCGCTGCTAACTGAAAGGTTAGCAGTTTGAACTCACCAGTTGCTCCACAGGAGAAAGATGTCACAGTCTGCTTCTGTGAAGATTACAGCCTTGGAAATCCTGTGGGGCAGTTCCACTCTGTCCTAGAGTTGGTAGGAGTTAGCAGTGGGTTTGGTTTTGTAACTTGATCCTACCTTTACTTCACCTCATACAAGGGTATACATGACAAGAGAAGTAGCAGTTACAATCCTTGGCTCATCACCAGGCCTGGCAGTGGCTACCGAGGCACCAACTCCTCTTGCCTCTCACCCACACGGCATGCATGCTGCACAGAAGAGGAGCTGAGATGGCACGAGTCCCCCTGACGCACAGAAACTGCAGCTCCAATTTCCCACGGTCGTGGATTGAACTTGGACTCCAAAACTAGGTGCCAACTGGGCTAGGCCATGATTCCCAGTATTCTTTGGTTGTCATTTTGTGGTTGTCATTTTGTGATCTAATTTTCCTATGTGTTGTAAATCCTAATCTCTTCCTGTGGTTAATGCAGCAAGATTAAGTTATGTTAAAGAGGATTAGGGTAGGATGCAACACCATTACTCGTCACAGCCCTGATCTGATATAGGGGGAGTTTCCCTGGAGTGTGGCCTGCATCACCTTTTATCTTACAAGAGATAAAAAGAGAGAGAAGTGAGCAGAGAGATGGGGACCTTATACCACCAAGAAAGAAGTGCTGGGAGTGGAGTGCGTCTTTTGGACCTGGGCTTCCTATTCTGAGAAGCTCCTAGCCCAGGGGGAAGACTGATGACAAGGACCTTCCTCCAGAACAGACAGAGAAAGAACACCTTTCCCTGGAGCTGGCACCTTGAATTTGGACTTCTAGCCTCCTAGACTGTGAGAGAATAAATTTTTGTTTGTTAAAGCCATCCACTTGTAGTATTTCTGTTATAGAAGCACTGGACAACTAAGATACCCACCAACCTTTATACTGTTTTTGTTTGTACGCCAACAGCTGGCAGGCCAGCTCACAGCCCCAGGTCAGGTGCAGTTCCCCAGATCCAAGGTAAACAATAGCAAGACAGATACCATGTTCCACAATTCTCTTACCTCCAGTTTCCAAGGAAACAGTACTGTGAAAAGACAAACTCCAGGTCTTCGAAGGCAGGCCTGGATCAACTCAGGTCGAACGCTAACCCTTTACTAACAGAGGATTCATTTGATACAAAAATTTGAAGACTACTGGCCTATAACAATGAGGTCTCTGACTCCCCACAATTAAAAAACCAAAAAACCAAACCCACTGCCATTGAGTCGCCTCCGACTCATAGCAACCTCATAGGGTTTCCAAGGCTGTAAATCTCTACGGAAGCAGACTGCCACATCTTTCTCCCGTGGAGCCACTGGTGGTTTCAAACCATGGACCTTTCAGCTAGCAGTCAATTGCTTTCACTACTACACCACCAGCGTCTACAATTATTTGTGTCACAAAGGTTCGTAGGATGAGGAAGTGATGAATATGATCTTCACTGATCCACTTGGCCTTGAGTAATTAGCCAGCACTCACTATCCCCTGGTTTAAGCATGAACCCTGAATAAAGTTGTGTAACATTTTTCAAATACACTTAAACCTTGCTATCTGCCTAATCATTACATAACTCTGATTAGATACTTTCTGATGAAAGCACCAACCACCTTTTATTTATGTCTACAAATAAACTATCACATATCTTTAGTAAATTATTTGTTATTACTAGATAAGTATCTAGCCTTATATTCTTCTTAAAACTCCCAAGGCCCAATGTTTGTTCTTAGATCATGTCTTATGGGCCACAATCACACACACGGCCGGTGCCCACAGAGGGCAGTAAACAAAACCCGTTGCCGTTGAGTCAATTCCAACTCATAGTGACCCTGTAAGACAGAGAACTGCCCCATAGGGTTTCAAAGGAGCAGCTGGTGGATTTGAACTGCCGACCTTTTGTTTAGCAGCCAGGCTCTTGACCACTGCACTACTAGGGCTCCAGTAGGGTGAAGTAATTGAAAGCAGGGATTTCAGTGTCAAAGGGCCTGGGCTCAGTTCAGTGCTTCGGATCCTCTCCAGCCCTCCACCTTTAAAGGCCATTAACTTCTCCAAGTCTGGAAATGCAAACTGGGAGTGAGCACACTGCTCTCCAGGAGTTGCCGAGATCAAAGCAGGGAGTGCGCAGATAAAGCACGTAGCCTAGGGCTTGGCATAACGACAGGGTAAAGTCAGCAGCTGATGATGCTACCATTGACTGATGGGACTGTGCCACGACAGAGCCAGGGCTGTAGATAAAAGATCAGTCAAGCACAGTTCCTACGAGAAAGGTGTTTCAGATATAGACACCAAGTACAATGTGATCTGTGCCCTGAGGACAGTCTCCCAAGGCACAGGAAAAGAACAGGGCTGAGAGTGGGAAGAGAAGACAGAAGCAGGCAATAGGAGCTTTTACCATTTAATTCTCATAACACTAGGAGGTAGACACCATCATTATCCCCATTTTACAGAGGAGGAAACTGAGGCACAGAGAGGTTAGGAAACTTGTCCCAGACTACACAGCTAGTAAATGGCAGAGCCAGATTGAGGAAGTTAGCCACCAGAATCCGTGCTCTTGACCACGGTGCCACACTGCCACCTCCTTCAGCTGTCCTCTCCAAGGGCGCGGGCAACAACATCCACTAGGCCATCCAGGCCATAAATATGGGAGCCATTCTTGACTCCTCCCTTCCTCCCTCCCTCATTGCCAATCCATCACCAAATACCAGCAGTTTTACATCTCAAGTATCCCTTAAATCCAGCCCCACCTTTCCATTAACTGTGTTAGTGCTTGCCCTTATCTCTCAGCCAGAAGAAAGGCCTGGTCACCTACTTCCAAATAATCAGCCACTGAAAACCCTATGGAGGACAGTTCTAATCTGACACACATGGGGTCATCATGAGTTGGAATCGACCCCACAGCAACTGGGTTTTTTCATTCGTTTGTTTGTTTTCTTATATCTCAGCAATAACTCAATAGCTGGTCTCTCTGCCTCCAGTCTTATCTCCCTCAAATACATTCTGTGTACTACCTCCAATGACCTGTCAAAATGAAAACATGTACTGGAGGAGTTGTAAAGAAAGGAATTCAAGGTGTGCTGTCTTGCCAGTGAGCTGTGAGACCCTGAGCAAATGTCCAAGCTTCTGTTTCCTTCTCTTTAAAATAATCATGTATCCCAAATGGAGTTGTTGTTTTGAGGATCAGAAGAGACTACACAGGGAAAGTGCCTAGCATAGCCGAGACATAGTAAAGCCTCAATATGTGACAGCATTATGATGTCAGAGTGTCTCCTACAAAATGCAGCAGGAAGGTCTAGACTGGTCCACTTCACTTTAGTATCCTTAAGAATCTTCTCCATCTGCTGAAGGAAATTTTCTGAATCTAGTTTTGAATGAGGATTGCTTGAAAACTATATTCTAAGCACAAAAGACAGCTTGGGGAAAATCACTGAAATACAACATAGGAATCGGGTGAGTAACAAAAAGTTTGGAGAATTGACTCTACAAACAGATGATCAAAAAACGGTATTCTAGCTAATATAAAAAGATATGAGGCCATTTTAAAGAAAAGAATCTCCTTAGTAATTTGGATTCAAACTTCAGATCTCATTTCTCTCTTGTCTTGTTCAGAAAAGGACCTGAGGCAGCCATATACAGTATTTAGAAACAACTGGCAGGGTTTTCGTCTCCCCCAAGTAACACTTACCATGTTGGCATCAATGACCTGTCCTTTGCCGGTGCGCGTGCGTTCAAAAAGAGCCATCATGATGCCCAGTGCACATACGAGGCTACCACCACCAAAGTCAGCCAGAAGGTTCAGAGGGGCATACGGGTTCTCACCGCTTCTACCGATTTTTGATAGAACACCTACACCATTAGAAAATATCGGGAAAAACTGTAAGCTTAACGCCTCCTTTAAATAAACACATGAACATCTTAGATCAATAACCCATCTCTCCGGTTGCTGACCTAAGTGAAAACTAATACAAACTTGTCCACACCTGAACCTATTCGGCATACTTTTAAACAGGTTTCTCTCAAGCCAAGCTCCTTGTTTTTTCTTCTCTCTCTCTCTCTAAAACTTTAATCCAACTGACATTTTCAGAATTTTATTGCTAGGATTTTACTCCCTGAGTTTTGGGAAAACAATGATTATTGTCGACTTTCTTTATGGCTTCAAAACGGTATAATGCATTCCTATTCTTTTTTTTAAAAAATAATATATTGTTTTAGGTGAAAGTTTACACAGCAAATTAGGTTCCCCTTTAACAATTTTTATACAAATTGTTTTGTGCCATTGGTTACAATTTTTACAATGTGTCAGCATTCTCATTATTTCCATTCTGTTCCTTCTGTTTCCATAGATCTATTTTCCCCACTTGCCTTCTCATCTTTGCTTTTGAGTAAATGTTGACGATTTGGTCTCATATAGTTGTTTAGGGAGCACATTACTCACCAGTGATATTGTTTATTTATAAGCCAAATCTATGATTTGGCTGAAAGGTGACCTGCAGAAATAGCTTCAATTTCAAGTATCTTACAGGGTCGCTATGAGTTGGAAGCAACTTGACAGTAACAGGTTTGATTTTTGGTGTTTTTTGGTAGGACAAGAGTCTCAGGGGTTTCTCTAGTTTCTATTGGTCCAGTAGGTCTGATATTTTTTAGGAATCTGAGTTTTGTTCTACACTTTTCTCTCATTCTATCTGGGATCTCCTATTGTGTCCCTGGTAAGAATGGCCGGTAGTGGTAGCTGGGCACCATCTGGTTCTTGTGGTTTCAAGTTAGAAGAGGCCGTGGTTCGTATGGGCTATTAGTTCCATGGCCTAGTTTCTTCTTTAAGTCTTTGATTCCCTTCTTTCTCTTTTGCTCCATTCGAATAGAGACAACAGTTGTACCTTAGACGGCCACTTAGAAACCCTATACGGCAGTTCTATTCTGTCTTATAGGGTCACTACGAGTCAGAATTGACTCGATGGCAATGGGTTTGGTTTTGGTTTTTACCTTCTTAATAAACCCCATAATCATGAGCATTATCTGTGAGTTCTGTGTGGCCACTGCAATGAACTATCCAACCCAGCAGAGAAGTAGAGAGTGCCATAGGAAGGATGGCTGGTATCAGAATTGGTAAAAAGGTTGGAGAGTGGAGATACGTCTGACCTCCATTTCATGGAAATCAGCCTTGGGTTGGTGCTGATGATCTTCTCTTCCACCCCTTGTGAAGTTAGAGGAAATCAGACACTCCCACCATTTTCACAGTTGGCATTACCATTTTTACAGCAATGCTGTTGTTGTTAGCGGCCATCAAGTCAGTCCCCGATACAATGGGATCACGCTGTTGTGATGCACAGGATTTTCACTGGCTGATTTTTGGAAGTAGATCACCAGGCCTTTCCTCCTAGACTATCTTAGTCTAGAAACTCCACTGAAACCTGTTTAGCAACACAGCATCACGCAAGCCTCCAGTGAGGGATGAGTGGTGGCTGTGCTTGAGGTGCACTGGTCAGGAATCGGACCTAGGTCTCCCACATGGAAGGTGAGACTTCTACCACTGAACTACCAAAGCACTCCAAGGTGATATTTCCCAAAAAAAACCAAACACTCTGCCGTCGAGGCAATTCCGACTCTTAGCGACCCTACAGGACAGAGTAGAACTGCCCTGTAGGGTTTCCAAGGCCATAATCTTTATGGAAGCAGATTGCCACATCTTTTTTCCACAGAGCAGTTGGTGGGTTTGAACTGCCAACCTTTCAGTTAGCTGCTGAGTGCTTAACCACTGTGCCACCAGGGCTCCTAAGGTGATATTTGAACCTAAAAACCATAGGCTTTTTCTAGTGTTCACAGACGTCTGAAACGATGACTCATAAGCAATGACTCTCAATGAAGGGTCGGGGGAAAGGGCATGTTGTCGGAATCAAACTATATCAACATCTTCTAAACCATAGAGCAACCACCCCTACTACCACCAAGAATCTCTTACTTCCTAGTAAGTGTTTGCCTGAGAAATTAGCTCCACAAATGTAGCAAGTAAATGTTACTAGTGAGACTATGTTACCTTTCAAATGTGTTAAGGCAGGGGAAATAGAAGGTTGAGAATGACCGTTCAAAGAATCCAAACCAAACCATCCTTTTTTAAACAATTACGTTTTCCTCATTGATTCTGATAAATATTTAAATCATTATCCTTAAAAAAAAATCCTTCTAATAAATGTAATTCTAGATGTTGACTGGGAACAAATAAAAAATATAGAAACAAAAATTTTTTTCAAACATACCTGACAAAGCCAAATAGTTGATATCATGCCCTGCTACCCCTGAGAACCTTCCCGTCTGGCCAAATCCACTCAACCTGGCATAGATGAGCTTTGGATTCACCTGCTGGAGAATCTCTGGGCCGAGCTGGAGTTTCTCCATGACACCTTAAAATAAAATTTTTTAAGAGCATGAATTAAGGATGAGTATAATCCCTTCTCTGCAGCAAACAAAACAGCATTCTTGCAACACTAATAACACCATTTTCTGTGCTCGCAGTAGTTACAGATTCAAGAGTGAAGCCATGATTTCTGCTACGTGTGCTTCCCTATTTCCCTCCAGGCATATCCAAGGCTACACAATCCCCTCAGTCAGTCCCTTTACCGTTTCCCCAGTTCTCTCCTTATTCACTTATACATGGTTTATTCTCTTGGAACAATTATCCTAGGTTTCTATTTAGTCAACAATACACTTTTAGGAACTGCTGCTCCCTGGGAAGACCCTCAATGAGATAGACTGACACAGTGGCTTCAACAATGGACTCAAACATAGCAATGATCATGAGGATGGTGCAGGACCAGGTAGTGTTTCATTCTGTTGTACATAGGGTCGCTACGAGTTGGAACCAACCCAACGGCACCTAACAACAACAACACTCACTGGGTGGCACGATTGGTTGGTTAAGCGCTCCGCTACTAACTGAAAGGCTGGTGGTTCAAATCCGCCCAGAGGTGCCACAGAAGAAAGGCGTGGCGTTCTACTTCTGAAAGGTCACAGTCATTGAAAAAACTCTATGGAGTACAGTTCTACTTTGACACACATGGGGCTGACATAAGTCAGAATTGACTCAAGGGCAACTGGTTTCATTCCTTTTAGGGCTTTTTCTCTTTCTACACTGCATCTGTGCCTACTTTCTACCTTACACTATTTAAAAAAAAAAACATTGCTGTCAAGTTGATTTTGACTCATAGTAACCCTACAGGACAGATCAGAACTGCCCCATAGGGTTTCCAAGGAGTGGCTGGTGGGTTCAAACTGCTGACCTTCTGGTTAGCAGCTGAGCTCTTAATCACTGCACCACCAGGGTTCCCCTTGTACTATACTATGTATCTATATATCTCATCTTCTCTATCAGCTCAGAAACTCCTCCGGCAGGATTTATGCCTGGTCTGTTACCACAGGCCCGGAAAGTGTCTAGCTTAGGACATTCACATAAGAGCTCAGTAAAAGTCTGTGGAAAGAAAGGTTAGCTACTACAACATCTGAAAGCTCTTAGTTATCAACACGTGTTCACTGCACAGAACCATGGTAACTGGCACCAGAAGTCTCCTGGGATTAAGAGTATTTGTTGTTGGTGTAGAAGCCCTGGTGGCGTAGTGTTTAAAGCGCTAGACTGCTAACCAAAAGGTCAGTGGTTTGAACCCACCAGGTGCTTCTCGGGAGAAAGATGTGGCAGTTCGCTTCCATAAACATTACAGCCTCGAAACTCTATAGTCTGTCCTATAGGGTCGCTATGAGTCAGAATCGACTGGATGGCAGTGGGTGGGTTGTTGTGTTAGGTTTCCTCGAGGCAATTCCAATTCATAGCAACCCCATGTGAGAGTAGAGTAGAATGGTCCCCATAGGGTTATTAGGGCTGTAATCTTTACGGAAGAAATCAGAGATCGCCAGGTCATTCTCCCACAGAGCCGCTGGATGGGTTCAAACCACCAACCTTTCAGTTAGCATTAAGAGTATTTAAGATTACATAATAAACACACTGCCTTTCTCTTCCTAAGGGTACCACAAATCACAAAAGCAGATGCACTCCAGTCATCAACCTAGGTAAACACCAGCCATAATCCCCTCATCTGGCTGCTACATCTGTATTCACAGCTCTACCTTCCTCCTAATTACCTGGGGCAAATTATTTAACCATTTTGTAAATGAGAGAGAATTAAATTATAATGTTAATTACTAAATTTCTATAATCCTCCAATGGATCCCTGGTGACACAGTGGTTAAGAGTTACAGCTGCTAACCAAAAGGTCAGCAGTTTGAATCCACCAGCTACTCCTTGGAAACCTTATTGGGGCAGTTCTACTCTGTCCTACAGGGTCGCTGTGAGTCAGAATTGACTCCATGGCGATGGATTTTTGTTTGTAATCTTCAAATACGGCTGTAAGGATTAAATGAGTTAACACACTTAAAAATGCCTGGCACCGCAAAGACATTCAATTCATTCACCAAACAGGTACTGACTTCCTACTATAAATCAGGCAATGCTTTGGATTTGTACTGGAACCAGTATAAGAATGTAGTGGTGCTAAACTGAAACACCAGTTTTAAAAAGGCTGTGACACCAATGTCAAGGTATCTGCAGCGGGTACGGACAGAAAGAATCCTGAGTCAAGGTAAGGAGGAAGAATGGCTGCATTAGTGATGTTAAAAGAGGGGATGGAGTGAAAGAAAGATACTGGAGTCAAGGATGAAGTAGTTTGACTCAGACAGCTGGATGAACACTGGTTCCATTCACAGAAATAAATAATACAGAAGGAGAAGACGCCCTTTTAGGAGGGAAGACGGGCTCGGTTTAGGATCTGTTAGTTGCAGTGCAGGGTGGACTGCCAGATGGACATGACCAGGGCCTGCGCACTCCAGCAGTCTGCGGCTTTGAAAGGCGTGGGCACCATCCACCTATGAGAAGTGAAGGCAATTGGGAATGGATAAGGTAGCTCCAGCGACGACACTGTAAACGAAATGGGCTGAAGCTAGAATTTGGGAATACCAAAATTTAAGGCAGGAATGTATGGTTAGCCTGAGTCCGGATGGCTTTAGAGGGCACACCAACCACCGCCCCCCCTGCCCCCCGAAATCGGTGACAATATGTACCTATGGACATTTACCCAGTTTTCCAGGGACAGAATCTTTGGCTTTCATAAGATTCTCATTAGGGTTCATGATCTTCTAATAATTAAAAAAGGCAAACAGAGCGGCAGTGAAAAAAAACTTTGGCAGGATTCAGAGAGATATAAGAATCAATGCAACAAAACTGAATCTAAGTACGGACGACAGCCTCAAGGGACGAAAGACGAACACTATTAAATGCAACAAAAAGATCTAGAAGGGTTGGGCCAGAAAGGGGATCAAGTGGCGCAGGCCAAAGGAGTGGCTGGCGCACTAGTTGACAGGTCAGGCCCCTCCGCTCCGCACGGCCCTTTCCCGTCCAGCCCTCGGGCCCGGGGCTCACCACTGCGGAAGGGCTCCAGCACAACGTCTACCCCGGCGCACAGACGCCGCAGCACCGCCGCGCCCCGCGGCCGCTTCAGGTCAACAGCTATAGAGCGCTTGCCCCGGCCCAAATGGCTGATGTCGCCGCGGCTGCCCAGCCGGTCCACACGCATCACCTGCGCCCCGAAGTCCGCGAGGATCATGCCGCAGAACGGGCCCGGGGCCAGGCCGGCTAGCTCCACGACGCGAACTCCTCGCAGCGCCATAGCACTTCCGAGCCCTATCCGAGGAAAGTGAGACTCAATAGGCCCGCCTTGAAAGCGCCGGGCAAACGCCACCTCGGGGGCACTCCTCTGTCTTGTGCGCCTGCCCGCGGCCGCGGAGTCTGCGCACTAGCGCGACTCGCGACCAGCCTTCCTGAGTCGCTGATTTGATGTACGCTTTGTTGCTGTCGGTTTTGTTCCCACGTCCAGGTTCTAGATAGTTGTCTGGGCTTGACCTGGGGAGCTGGGCCTCTCACCGTCCTCTCAGAACGTTTTTTACTGTCACCGATGCGATTCATCTGCCGTTGGGCCACTTGAGCCCTTAGTCATGCCTCACCCTAGAGAAATAAGTACATAAATAGGTAAGAACAGTGCAAACCTACTTATTAGCGAGCAGCCGGGCTCCAGGAACTAAACCTACAAGTGGGTGTGAAGCCTCCGTCGAGGCTTCGCCTGCTCCGCAGCAGACGTAAAAGCTCCCTGCAGCCCTGGGGCGGGGAGCGCGTGGTCTTTTGGCTGCTAGTCCCCAGGTTGCTCCTTGTTTGCCCAAACAATAAATTCCCACTTTGTGTTTCTCTTGCAACTGGTGGTGTGGCTTCTCCGCGTTCGGTTACAGGTGAGGCAAGCTGAAAGGAGAAACAGAAGCAGAGACTAAAGAGGACCAAAAGGATATGACAGCCAACACGTGGCAACTTAGACAAGCGGTTGGTGATAATAAATATAGTAAGTAGAGACAGTAGTTGCTGATAAACTTGGCCCTAGAGGGAACTTACAACACCCTAGTCAGAGTAACAATGTGGTATCCCTTGAAATAACTGTCTTTAAATATTTATCAAACATTTACCTAGAGAACTAGGAGAAACTAATTTTCTATTAATAAAAATATTTCATCTTCAAAATAAGGAAATCATATACACCTAATGTAAAATAATATTTTCTTGGGAATTGCTCTGAAACTATGACTTTGTGTAATAGGCAAATACTTGAAATCTCCATAAAATGGCTTAAAGCAAATAATAAATCACTTATTCATGACAAAAAAGAAAGTACTTCTTAGCTACCCCATGATTTCTTCCAGAAACGGTCGAGACCCCTGCTTTGCTGTTGCTGGGTGCTGTGGACTGCGTTCTGACTCATAGCAACCCCACGTATAACAGAACAAAACACTGCCTGGTCCTGTGCCATCCTCACAATTGTTACACTTGAGCCCATTGTTGCAACCACTGTGTCAATTCATTTCGATGAGGGTCTTCCTCTTTCTCGCTGACCCTCTAGCAAGCATGATGTCCTTCTCCAGGGGCTGGTCCCTCCTGAGAGCATGTCCAAAGTATGTGAGACTAAGTCTCCCCATCCTAGCTTCGAAGGAGCATTCTGGCGGTACTTCTTCCAAGACAGATTTGTTCGTTTTTCTGCAGTCCATGGTATATTCAATATTCTTTCACCAACAGAGACCTCTGCTAGACGCATTCAATTTCAAGTTATAAACTTCATAAATTTCATGTCTTTAAAAAAAAACAGAAAAAAACATTTGGGGGGGGTACCTTCTGTTCAAGACGCAAAAGGAACCAACTTTAATATCATGTACATCAGAGAGGCAGAGTCAAATGAAAGAGCTTTAAAAATATTTTTGAAACTTCCAGGCAACATGGCACTATAGTCAGAAGCACCACACTGTCCATCCGCAGCAAAGATCAGAAAAACTAAGTCAAGCAGAATCACAAGTCAATCTTGAAACCCTAAGCATCAAATGAAGACATAAATAACTCAGCCAAGCACCAAATGGAATAACAAACTGACCGAGAACAGAGCACGAGGAGGGATACATGCAGAGGCCTCCTACCAGCTACTGCAGCACAGATCCGCCATCTTCGGCCCCTATCGGAGATCAACGAACAGGGGGTATGAGAAAGCAGCTTCATGGAGCTACCAGTAGGAGACAGAACAACCGTAACCAGTGATATAGGCTTTCCCACTCCCCACCCTTCTTCACCCCCACTTAGCCTCCTCTGCTTCCTACAGCCACAGTCTCTTGGCCAGGAAACACCAGCTTCACCCTGGTGTTGCTTGGATTCCACCAGCCCACACTGGCCGGCTCCCTGAGTGCCTTTTGTTGGCTGCTGGTGTTGCTTTTTTCCACTTCTTTAGATTTCTTCCTTACCTCTCACCACCTCCCCCTCCTTTCTCTCAAATTCCTGGCTCTGTGGGCCATCCTTGCTTCTTCCTGAAAGGCTGCGAAACACCCCTTGATTGTGAAACTGCTTTCCAGCCTGTGCTGCCACGCTGGTGGGAACCCAGGGGCTTTTTTGTTTGTTTGCTCTGATTTGTTCTGTTTTGATTTGTTTGTTTGTTTTCTTTTTCTTTTCTCGGCTTGGGAGCCCATTCTAGCCAGGCAGTACCAGGCAGCTTGGGAGCTACTCCGTGACTCTGCACAGATGCACAGGGACATCCCTGGGGGCATTTCTTTTTTCTTTTTCTTTTTTTGTTTGTTTGTTTGTTTCTTTTTTGTTTGTTTGTTTCTTTTTTTTCTCTCTCGTTCTCTTTTTGTCTTTCTTCATTTACAGTTTCTCAATTCAATCATTTTTTTCTTTTACCCTTTTTTCTTTTCATTTTTGTTTTTCCTCATTTCTCAGTCTCTCATCTCTCCACTCCAATAGCAAGCTCCCTTAGCACTCTTTTTTGTTTGTGTGTATGTTTTTGGCTCCTGTTCCTCTCTCCTCTCTCTCATCTTTTCCATACCCATCTTAGCGCCACACATCACAAGCTACCCCCTTCTTCCTGCCTACTTGGACCATGTGCTGAACATTACACTCCCAGGCAGCACAGGCATGGCCTACTGAAAACTGCCCTGCACTGATTCCCGGTCCGCACTGCCAGCCCTGGTACATGCCACAAACAACCCATCCCAGCAACTCCCCTTCAGCTGGACCTGTCCTGCTGTACCATACCTGAGTGACTGACCCTGCCAATTGGAGAAGGAGGTGAAAAGTATTGCACCCACAGAAGAGCAAACAACAAAGAACACACAGCCCGCCTGCTCAGACATAACCAAATAAAACAAAAAAGCAGGACAAAACAAACAAATCTACAATCAATAAATGAGGAATGACCACTGAATGTCCTGAAGACAGCAGACAATATCAAAACATTTACAAAAACAGGACAGGATAGTTCCAGTAGGCATCCAAAATAAAACACCAGATGAGAAGAAAATGCGCTAGACCTAACTGATAGGGAATTCAAATCTCTAACATTCAGAGCTATTCAAGAGTTGAAGCAAAAAGTGGACAAAAATGAGGAAAAAGTAGAAAAATTCATGGAAAATGCAAACAAATTCTTGGAGAATACAGACAAAAAAAGGAAGAATTCAAGAAAATAATACAGGAACAAAAAGCTAAAATAAATTCACAACTAGAAATCATACAAAAACAACAATTAGAAATCCAAAAGATAAACAACAAGATTTCAAAAATGGACAGAGTCATAGAAGTGCT